TAGAGAAATCTACATGACAATGGATCATGGTTCTTTCCAACCAAATGATCATAATATAACTAAGGGCCAACATCTGGAGAAGAGTGAGAGCAAAGAAGACAGTTAATTGTACTGATTGTATTGACTATCTGGTTGTACAGTCCCCATGTCAGGAATGGTTACAGCATGCCACAGCTCAGACAATAATACAAACAAATTAACTTTTATGTTGAAGTAATAATTCAGCTACAGCCTACTCTAACTCCCATTGAAATCAATGCAAATAATTCCACTAAGTTCAAATGGGAATTGAAGTGAGTCCTTCCTTACCGGCTTAAAGTGTCTAATGATGTGGAAATTTCTCTTCTAATTCCTCCTAGTACTTTGGAACCTGTAATATACAAAAATCACTAGTATTTATACTAGATTGTATCTGTAAACTAGTAATAAGCATAATTCTGACCTGTCCAAGAAGACTAAAGAATTGTATGTTGACACGAATGTAAATTAAAACAAAACTTGTTTTTTACTGAATTAAATACAACCAACAGAGCAAATGCCCTGTCTTAAATCAGAATGAGAGTAAACTCCTTTTCCTGGCTTCAGATAAGGGTGACCACCTTCCCTTCCCCATCTGACCAGTGATTTTATGGTCCAGATTATTGAGGCAAAAGTGCTCAAATTTGGGTGTCTATAGCCAGGGCCATCCATAGTGGGGTGCGGGGCCCAGGACAACCCCCACCCCTCTGGCCCAGGCCCCGCCCCCACTCCACCCCTTCCCCCAAGCTCCCGCCTCTTCTCTTCCCTGCTCTACCCCTTCCCCCAAACCCCTGCCCCGCCTCTTTCTGGCTTCTGCCCCCTCCCCTGAGCGACACTGGGAGCTGGTGGGGTGGGCTGGGTTGCTCACTGCTGCCGGCGCCAGGCCTCCCGCTAGTTCCCCAGGACCCCACATCCCGAAGCATGGGGCCCCCTAAAGCGCAGGGCCTGGGGCGGTTGCTCCAGTCTGTCCTATGGACGGGATGGCTCTGTCTATAGCTAGGCACCTAAATCTGTAGCTAGGTACCTAAATGAAGTTAATAGAGAATGTGTGTGCTCAGCACCTCTGGAAAATCAGGCTACATATTTAGGAGCATAAATATAGATTTAGGTGTCAAAGTTTAGGCATCTAAAACTGAAAATACTGCTCTGACCCTATACCCCATTTTTCAGTGCACCTCTCCTTTTTGCCCCAAGGTATTTACTTCCTTTTCCTACATGCTCCAGATCACTGCCTCCTCCCTTTTTGTGGGCACTGATTTTTCCTTTCCCCTGTACGCCCAATGCACTACAACCCCAGTCTCTAGCAAGGATGGAATTACATCATAGTTGTACCTGGGCCTGGAGCTGGCTGTTCTGTGACCCCATCCTGGAGGCTGCTCTCTGATTCCACCTCTGAGGAACTCCTGTCTTCAGATGAGCTAAGCAAGTTGAAAAGACAGTATGTTCAGCTTACAGGGGAAAGACACATCTCTGCATAGCATTATTGTCTCACTAATGACCACTGTTTATAATAGATGGCCTTATCTCAGTCTGAAGGAATTCAATTTCCCTCTCCTTGCACAAAGAAAATGCCACATTAGGAAGAACATTACTGTACTCTGTCTAGTTCCTAGTAGACATATTCATACAGTCCCTCCTCCTCCACTGGCACCTCTGCTGATCCTCTCAGCAGAGGTTCAAGGACTGAATAAGCATGAAGACTGAAATAAGGCGAACGTAGGAAAAATGGATACAGCTATGTTTATTCAATCTGGGAGTGGGGAACTGGAGGGAGGAGGACAGTAACTAAAGATAAGGAGATACTCAATGAGGACAGAACAAGTCATAATAGATGTAAAGTGCTATGCTAAGAAAGTTATACAGGCCATTTGGTAGGTACAACATAGGTTACAAAATCATCTTGGCTACATTAGATGCTAGACATCTTCCTATCAAGGATGGTTTGGGGGAAAAACCTCAATATTGCCATGATGCAAGGAATGATGGACTAGATGACCAACTGGAGTACCACATAAATACCCAATGTTTCTAAGGTGATATAAGTAAGGATGGGTGGGAGATGAGGGAAGACAGTGAAAGCAAAGAAGATTCCCAAGTAGAATATTGGGCTGAATATTGTATTGCTAGCTCTAAGATCATGTATGGCAACTGCATAACACTGCTCAGCCCAGAATAAAGCAAATCAAAGTTATATTTCCATTTGCTTACCTGCTTCGTCCCTCGTAGGATGAAGATGAAGTTTCTTTTCTATTTTCCTTGGCATCTGTTGAATACAAATATATACAGACTAATTGGACTGCAAGATATGCATCCGAACATGCAAGCGTAACCCCCCTAGTATGTGAGCTGGACTAGAGGAAAGGTAAAGAATTTTAAGGTAAGGTATTAAGGCTGTATATACAGCGTCTCCCATTCTTTTTATTGTCCCCACAGCAGTAAATGGAAAGGCTACTCCATGTAAAGGACTCGGAGGGATAAAGTTTTGCAAAGAAGCCAGGTTCTTATAACTCTTTGGCTTCAGCTATCAACAGCGTGGCCCCAACATGTGCTTTCTCCCAATTCACTCTCCAGTCACCATGCTATACTCTAGAGGTGCTCAGAACATTTCATCACAAGTGAAATTTCCAACCAGCTCCCCCTCTAGATGATGTCATAAGTGATAAAACAAATGAGGAAATGGCTAGAGCACCAGTGGCAGAAATCTTGTGCCAAGTCTGAATAGAAATTATTTTGCCGTTGCTGTGCAAAAAGCAAAACATTTCTTTTTCTCCACCCTGGCATCAACAGTATCACACAGCAGGACTGATCAGGATAGATGATAATATTGTTAATCTCAGCTGCCACCACTCAGTTACAGAGTTAGGGTTTTCTTCTCCGTGAAGGAATTTCAAATTACTTTGCAGGTAACAGCTTGGCTCTGGACTGAGAGGTCTGCTTCTGTGGCGATGGAGTGGTGTCTTGAGGGGACAAATGCTGAGTGCTTTCTTCTTGAGTTTCAGATGACAAGGGTTTGCTTTGGGTCACAACCTGTACACATTCTTCTTGGCTGGGCAGAAGGCCTGTGGGAAGTACTGGGCTTGTTGGTTGAGACTGTCATTTTCCTACAAGGAGAGGAATACAGAGTGCCAGGAGTCCTTAAGGAGGCTTTTGCTAACCATTGACTTGTATCTCATTTTTCTGTTTTGGGAGATAATTGAAAAGGAGGTGGCAGGGCAACTCCGGTACTTTCTGCAGTTCTCATATTTCATTATCTTAGTCTATCACACTTTAGACCCTGTTACAGACTGAACTGGGCCCTTTTAAGAGGACACTACTCCAGCCCACCTATGCCTCATTAACAGTCTCTTGATTGGGTATGAAAGAGGGGAACTGGTCTCTGTAAAGAGACAGAGGAGCGAGGACTCTCTAATAGAGGCTGTAATGAGTTGAAGGCTTCTGCAGGATACTGGTATCAGAGGGGTAGCTGTGTTAGTCTGAATCTGTAAAAAGCAACAGAGGGTCCTGTGGCACCTTTGAGACTAACAGAAGTATTGGGAGCATAAGCTTTCGTGGGTAAGAACCTCACTTCTTCAGAAGCAAGTAATGGAAATCTCCAGAGACAGGTATAAATCAGTATGCAGGATACCGTTGACCAAGGGGAAGTGTTTGGACCAGAAAGCCAGAGCAAGCTATAGAGAACCTGCAGGGACAGACCCTCAAACTAGAGGAGTTGCTTCAGCTAGGCTGGGCTGAGAGTGGCCTGCTAAAGTAGGGAAGATGCTGAGACACCAGATAAGTTTCTAAGCAGGAAGGCCTGGAAGTAAGGCTCCTGCAGGGAAGATCCTGAGAAACCAGAGGAGTTTTGAGACTATACTCAGGGAGGAGGGCTGTGTCCAGGATAAGATTTTTTTTGTGTTTATTTTTATGTCAATAAAACTAGTCCCTAAGCTAGTTACTGAACAGAGAAAAGTCTTTCTGTAAGTTATTGAGATAACCAAACAGGGAAGCAGAGACAGGGTGTGACAGTCACCCCTGACCACAAGGGGGTGCTCAGGAGGCAGCTGATGCTGTAACAGGCCCAAATCTACAACTATCTGCACTTGTTTCTGTGGCTTTCCTAGCAATGGATAAAGACTGAATATCCACGGTGCTCTCTTAAATTCTCAAAGTCCTCGAAACTTGTGACCATGAGGTTTTCCTGGCACCGCTGCAGTTGCTAGTAGGGATCTTTGGGGAAAGTCCTAAGGGGTAGTTTTACAAAACCGCTCTTCCAGCCACAGGACTCTCTGTGAGCCAGGGTACTCTGAGTTTTTTTTTGTAAATATCACTGTCTCTATGACTATTGGAAGTGTTAATGAGGAGATATTGCTGCAGTGGGCTGATGTCACCCACGGCTACATTTCCGCCTAGCAGATGCAGCTGAAAGAATGAGCCAGGCTCTTTATGAGACTAGGGTGTAAACAAAGGGAAACTGTCTCAGTCTTACAAGTGAGATGATGTTGGTAAAGGGGAGATGCAGCTAGAAAATGGGAAAAGCGAATCTCCCCTCTGCCGGTCCAACAAGGGAATCCACACTGCGTCAGGCGGGGTTGTCAAGCGCAGAGGTTACTGGATCTAGAGTAGCTCAAGGAGCAGCTGTAACTAAACGCCTTTAAAAATCTGCTTCTGCTGGGAAGCCCTGTTGGCTTGTGACGCCTGCCCCAGAGCCCAGCGCCCTAATTCCGCTACGGCCACCTCCAGACACAACCCGCCGGCAGTCCCAGTGAGAAGCGTCACGCTGGGCCACATCATCCCCGTGACCCGGGGACCACGTACCCTTCCCTGTTCCCCGCGAGGCTGGCTGCTCGCCGGGCTCGGCGCACCCATCACGCTCCCGCCCCGCACTGCCGGCTCCCTCCATGGTGCGCTGCTACCTGCGGGGCTGCGGCCCCTTTAACACGCGGGGGCGCCCCTTCCCAAGTCCTTGTGACGCCAACTGTTGTGCGTTCTAATCGCTAGGGAGACGGCGTGGCGTGGCGTGGCGGAAAGGGGCGCTCAGAGCCCGCCCCGCCCCGAGATTTAAAGGGGCCGGCCGCTCCCAGCCCTGTGGGGTGCAAACTCCCCACCCGACTGCAGAGCAGCGCAACGCCGCGTGTGCCCGCAGGCCGGCTATCGGGCACAGCCCCTGGGCTGGATGCACGTGCACAGGGGTCTGACTTATTCTGGGGTTGGGCAGTGGAGGTGTTTGGTCGCGGGGCGAGGGGATGTATCTCCTCCTTCGCTGTCCCAATGGCGCGGGGTCGAGGTGATCTCGCATTTCTGAAAGCGGTGGCAGTCCCTGTTTTCCACCGGCTCCCTAACCCGGTAACCAGCTGCTTCGCTGCACCCGCCCCATCGGTGTTTCCGCCAAAAGAACCAATAATGAAGTAGGTCTTAGGCCATTAAAGATCCCTTTGCATTTTCTGTAAAAGCAGCAAAGAGTCCTGTGACACCTTATAGACTAACAGACGTATTGGAGCATGAGCTTTCGTGGGTGAATGCTGCTTTTACAGATCCAGACTAACACGGCTTCCCCTCTGATATTTGCATTTTCTGTAAGAGATCTCTGGATTGTTGTCACCTGTTTACCACCCTTTCCCTTAGAAGTGGCGGCTTCTCAGTGGTGCTGTACAAGTGTGTGTGACGTTTGTAAGTGCTTCAAAGTGTCCACGAGAGCCCGGATTTATAAAATGTGTGGGCTTTGCAGTATGCCCAGCATTTTGCGGGCGGGGGGGGGGGGGGG